TCATCACCAGATAAGGGTAAAGGGCAACAGAGACCAAGTCACACTTCTAACCATGTAAGAACTGAACATTTTGGAGCAGATTTTAATATGTCCTTCCCAATCAACCATGTTATTTTAAACTGCAATGCCTAGTAGTTGCTGTTAGCACCATTTTGATCAGAATTAGCTTCAGGATTGGCTCCAAAGAGGGGCAAGGCTGGGCATTTTCCACGACTGCAAGACCGGCTAGCAAACAGTGCTGCTGTTCTCACTTTGTCCAGGATATCTAGCAGTCATTTCAATGTTCCTCCTGGCCAGCACTGGCCAGCTTTCTTTCAGACAAGGTCAGATGCTGTGATTACCCATCAGGCTTCTCACCCTGTCATTCTAAGAAGAGACATTTGGGCATGCACAGTAGAGATTGTGCCATGCCTGTGAAGTTTTCCTGCTCATAGCCAAAATGGAAAAGCACTTTGCCCCTTTGGTTTTGGCCATATCTCCCAATTTTGCTATTTCTGGGAGGCCTGCAGGCCTCAACAAGAACTACCTTGTTGAAAGTCAGTGCTACCAACTAGATCAGCCTTCTCCAATCTGATGACCGCCAAATAATTAGCTGTAAATGATGGGAATTGCAGTCCAACTAAGAAGAAATTACTATTTACTGGCCTGGAATCATGGGAGTTTCAGTCCAAGTAAGAAGAAATCCTCAATGCATTCAACCAAGTTCAGATTTCTATAAGCTTGACCAGAGCATTTTGCTGTGAAGTGACTTTTTCTGAGTCACATGGGTTCTATGGATTTGTGGATCAGTTTTGGACTTCTAGAGGGATTCACACAAATACGTGTCTGTGCCGGAGTACACTTATATAAGTGGACCAATATTCTCATGCATCCCTTAAAAGAGATCCAATTCTTTCCATGAGTGAATGACCCAATGCCTTAACAAGATTGATACATCCTTAAATCCTGCACATATAGAGGACACCCATTTGGAGAAAGATGAATTCTAGGCCAGCTAATAACTTTAGGGAACAGACTAGGGGAACCTTACAATGGGGTTTAAAAGCAGCTATGCTAATCCAGTAGTACAAAGCCAGCCAAGGGAAACATTTATTCCTGAGGCTTGGGTGAGTGTGACTGCTTGTGAAACCTTTAGCACAGTCTTGCAAGGTCATACAGCTCTCAGCTATTCTCCCATCCAAGCCCTGTAAGCAACCAGGGCTTGAATTTTAGAAATGCAGTGGCATTGCATAGCTCAGCTCATGTTTTCAGCTTGGCTCACAGTAAGGGTCCAAAGTTTAAAAAACAAGATTGAAAGGCAGAGCTCATGCAGTATATATTTAAAATATATCTCAGCTTTCAAGTGCATGTGGTGGTTGCACATGGCAACTTGCAATCAAGAAATTTTTAAAAATACAAAACAAGAGTAAAAACAGGTAGCAAACAAAAACAATTAACAGGAGATGGTGGGGGGACTCTATACTAGGGATTTTTACAAACATTGTAATACTGAATGCACTGGTCTGTTGATGGAAACCTCAGTCAGGCTTCCTTATTGCATCTCTGCCATTGTATCCCAGATTTCTTCAGACCAGTCACATCACAAACTGTTTAAATATGTGGCATTTTTTTCTGGATGATACATGTCAGTGCTTGCTAAACCTGCATTACTGTTCTGGAAGGAGAAGGTGACTGCAAGGAACAACTAGCTGAACGTCCTAATATACATGATTACTCAGAAGTAAGTCACATTGCCCTCAATGGTGCTTATTCCCATGAAAGTCACCACAAGGGAGAGAGGGTTTTGCTTTGGCTTTTGGGACGGAGCTGTGAATTTTTTATTTTTTTAAAATCTCTACTATTTTGCACCAGTAAACATGTGCACGATGGATCAAAAAAAAAAAAAAACCCAAACCCCAACCAAATGAAATTTCAAGAGCCCTTTCCCTGTGTACATCATCTTTCCAGATGCTCGCACAATTGCATCTGTGTGTGTCACAAGGTCAGGTTTTCAACATACTTAGAATCCCCACATTTGCTGTCTCTGTTACTGAAGTTTGACTTAACTGTGGTTGCCTGTGGTCCTCCACATTCCCAGGGAGTAGGGCCACAGGACCCAACCATTGCTAGCATAAAATAGTCATCAAACACCATCAGGAGGAAGTGGCAAACAGATTTAGAGCGGAACATGCAATGTGTGGCCCTCCAGATGCTATGGACAATAATTCCAATCAGCTAGTATAGCTAGTGTAAGGGATGTTGGGAGTTGCTGTCCAAGAAGGAGGGCCACATGTTCTTCACCTGCCCCCAAATTTAGATTCTGAGTACCATTACGGAAGCCCTTTCCTTCATACTCAACAAAACCTCTGGTGGGAACAAAGCAGAGCCTTTCCTGAGGACCTGAATGGGCAGATGGAGCTGACAGTCATTTGGATATCCTATCCCTAAAAGTCCTTAGGCCTTCCACAGGTGAGACAAGCCTTTGGACATGAAATTGAAACCAGTACTACTGGGCAGTATATTTCCTAGGAAATGGTCAGAATGCAGAATTCCTTACCTGTGCGTTGACCAGAGCAGCACAGGCACATGACCTGAGGATAGGATCACTCTGCACAGCATGCAGAAAAAGAAGCTGAAGACCTGTGCTCGGGAAACAGTCCAGCATCCTTCCATGATCTCTGCTGTGTCTTGATAGTTGATTGAAAAGGAAACTTGTTAGAAAGGAAGTCAAAGCAGGTACTGTTGTATGACTGTGTCCTGAAGCTTCTGGATTCAGCCAGAATTGTTTGAGTGCCAGGATGGGACTGTTGTATGACAACAACAGAAAAAAATCAGCATCTAAACTGGGTGTGAATTTTTAAATAACTTGCAGGGTAAGGTTTCTGTGAACTCTACAGGCTTTGTCTATGTCATAGGTAGCTTCCAGCAATTAGCTTGAATTGCTAAGTTCATTTTAGTGCGGTGGAGTGGTTATTTATCACTCAGTGCAATAGCGTTAAACTAATGGAGTCTTGCTTACTATTGTACTGAAGTCCCTAGAGCTACAGCTTCATTGGTTTACGGCTAATGCAGCAGTGATCTCTTGATACTCAACCAAGGGATGCTACATTACTGCATGATGCTTGTGATTTCCAAAATAAGAAAATGGAAGGGCCACGAACTGAAGGCTAATGCAGGTGCTGGTTTCAAAGTCCATACTGTTCTATGCTAATAGGTTTCAATGTGATCCATCCTGTACAGCAGGGGTGGGCCACTATTACCTGCAAAATCACCAAGACACATCTGACCTTTAAATCAAGGTGATGAGTACACACTGTTTAAAATAGCAAATTGCAGTCTTTCAGGATGTGATTTGCCTTTTCTTATCATGCTTTTTTGTTTTAAGTAGAAAGGCTGTTTTGCCAGTGCTGCTGCTGTTGCATTACAGAAATTCAGCCACAATTTGGTGGAATGGTGGGATCCAAGTATTAACATCTGAACCCTCCAAAACTTACCATGAATCATATGCAAACAACAACAACAAAATGAACAAACAAAACAAAGTTATTGAATTCATTGCAACAATCTGAAGGACATCAGGCAAGAAACCATTTTGGCTTCAAAAATATTTTATTTCTAGTTTATTCATCTTATTCTTATACCCTTCACTTTCATTTCCTTTCACACATTGCCAAAAGATGGTGCCACACATTTGGATGCTGGCATGTTGCAACTGCAGTGTCTGTTGGTACATCACAGCTTCCCTTTGCGGGGATAAAAATAAGGCAGTTTATCAGCTATGTACATGAAGATGACTTGCTGCTTGTGATAGTAAAGGAGAATCGGGAATGCAGTTGCAATTGACAAGGAAGAAACAGGGACGGCAGAGGGAACGGTCACTGGGAAAGGCCAAAGCCCCTCTCATTTGCTCAAGAGACTCAGCTGGTTGCCATACTCATACTGCCCTTGCCTTTCAGGTGTTGGGTTCAAGAAGGGACTGTCTGTCAGTGCTGAAGGCCTATGTCTGAGGAAAGGACTGGACCAGGAGTAGATCCCATCTGCAGTGGTTGCCCCAGATCTGCTGGATTTCCTGTCCCTGTGCACAGTGTGTAACTTCACCCTTTATTGCATGAGTGCATACTCTCTTTCAGTCCAAGAGCCAAATTATACTTTGAGAAACTATTGGGGGCCACATTCCAGTGGTGACCAGGGACAAAAGAAGTGGGACCGAAACACCCCAAATACGGCTATATTTTAGCTTGAAGTTCTTACTGCCTGCAACTGGGCCTTAGGAGAAGCATTTCAACTTTCTAGATGGAGAAAAACTTCTCAAAAGCTAGGAAGCCACCAAATAAACAGCAGTGAAGGGAAAGTGAGGAGTGTCCAGGAAAAGGGGGCAGAGCCATGTGTGAAATCCTAAAGAGTGAAACACCTTGAAGGAGTCTGGATTTGATCCATAGACCTAGGCTTTCCCACCATGGCTTAACCTGCCATTATTGTTCTACCTGCAAAAGTTGTGATGGTTATGAGCCACACTAAGTAGATGAGCTTAACACCAACCATGGCAGGATGAAAAAATCCTTTCTACCCCCTTACAAATTAACTAGCTAATGCAAAGTAAACTTTTGTATTAAACATTGGCTGACTAAGGCTAAGTGATGTGTAAAGAGGCCTTGCAGCAACCTCAACCAAATGTGATCCCTTTACATCACAAGACATGGAGATCCCACCTGAGGAGCTTTCAACTGCCATATTCTTGTGATAGCTGGGATGTCCCTGCCATTGCAATATTTCTATTCTCTTCCTAGATGCTGTGGTTTCCCAAGCTCCATGAGTAACTAATGAATCCCTGGAGGGCTGAGAGGCAAGCTGGGTGGTGTCACCTCCTCCTGCCCAAGAAACATTTCCTTGCTGCCTCTGTAGAGTTGGCTAGAGTTGGAGTTGTTGAGCTTTGCAGATACTTGAAAAAGGCTTGAACCAAAAGGGCTGCCAGTGTCTTCTGGCAAAGAGAAAATCAACAAGCAAGGAACATGAATACTCACGAATGCAAGATACTTGTAGCTTTCATTTTGTCTTCTACTTTTAGGCTGTTTCTCTCAAAGTAAGAACAGCCTGGAGGGGTCATAATCAGAGGCAGGAAATAGAGTCCAATCTAATAAAGCTTTTCATATGTTCATATGAGCTTTAAGATTATAATGTATTTCAAATGCAGCAATAGTTTTACAAAATTTTGTGCCTTGGGGTTCTCTCTATTTTATTGTATCTTGTAGTTACAGAAGAAAGCAAAGATAATGTACTAAATTCATTTTATATATTCACGATTTCTTACATCTGCATGTTATCTCCTCTCCTAAATCCCATTTTCTCTTGAAACACATGTTGCAAACCTGTTTAAAGCATAAAACCACCTCATTTAATGCAGTGCTGTGGGTGCTGGCTAAAACTGTTCCTCTGCAATGGATCAGTGAGTTCACAATCTTTGCAGAGATTGTTTGGAAAGGTGTACCTTCTGGGCAGAGATTTATAAAGTCCTGCCAACCTCATCACCACATACCCTTCCTCTTCAGCCTACTCTAGCCCATAGAACAGGGATTCAGAACCTCCTTCATTCCCAAGTCAAATTCCATTTCAGAGAAACTTTGGGGCCTTCATTCTAATGGTGTTCAGGGCCAAAGGCAAAAGGACTATGGAAAATTACCAGCATATTTTAGCCTGAAACTATTGTGGGCTTGGTTTGCAAGACACAACAACCCAATGGGTTACTGTATAGAACTCATGGACTGTTCTAGGGATTGTTTTACTACAATGGTTAGTAGATGATTGTTGAGTCATCTGAACCTTGGCAACTAATCCAACTGTGCATAAAAGGAAATTACAAGGGAGGTGCTTGGCAAGAGTGGCACCCCCACCTGCCACCTATGTCAACCCCTTCAAAGCATATTGGAGGAACCTTCACTGGTTGGCCACACTTATTTTTACACTCCAGATATGGACAAATGCCATTTTTAGTTTAAAAACTCTGGTTGGACTTGCACAAATACAGAGGTGCACACTTCTGCAGATCCACAATGGGAAGCCTTGCTTGGGTAATTTTCCTGGAGAGCACTTGCTGTCAAAGCACAGCAGGTATCAATCCTGGACTTGACTCAGAGGGGCTCCAAATAGCTTTCTTTGCTGTGATGTTACAGTTGGCAAAAGGCAAGCTGCCAAGTCAAAACAAAGCCATGATTTTTGATCAGGAAAGGAGGATTCTTGGCAAGATTCTTAGGATTCTAAGTGCCACAACATAGATCCCAGTGCCCCCAAGTTTTCTATCCACTCCCAGGACTCTAGGTGCTTGGGAAGTCCACCCATCCCCTCTTCCCTGGCATTTGCTTGAAGTGAAGTTTTAAAACACACCATACCCCACCCCACCATAACAAACACACAGATTTAAGTAGGGCTAGACAGGGAAGCATGCATATGAAATCTGGACAATTTGCACTAGTCTGACTAGAATTTATTTAAAAATTAAAAAAAAATGTGCACATTTACAGCAGGAAGAAAGAGAGCAAGCAGTAACAACACTTCCAATGTGCTACATGTTCACTATCTCCAGAAAAAAATAGGAGGGGAGGGGGAAATTCTTCGGCAGGCCAACAATAGTTCGCAATCACAGCAGGGAGAGGAAATGAGTTCTCTGTAATCCTGGCTGGGAGACCAAGGGGGAAGGAGGAGAAGAACAATAAACCACAGAGAGCCCAATAGTCTACTAACCAGCTAACCACTTGGCTTATTGCCAGGGTTGGTAAGCAAGACATGTGAACTCGCCCCCTGCCAGTAAGTAAATCTTACGAGAGGCATTTCAATGTTTTAGAATGGGGGAGAACTACAAAACAGCTATCAGTCTTACGGGACCTGCTCCTTGACCTTAGGGCCATGCCTGTACTAGAGCTGTGGTTTCCGTAACTTGGCAAATGAGATCACAACTTTTCAGAGTTCAGGGGTGGTACATAAGAAATATGATATATAAGGAAGTTTTAAATTATTTGGACAAGTCATGTTACAGATATTTGTTATTGGCTGGACTCACATATGACAAGCAATCCCACATAGTTACCATGTTTGTGCTTTTTTACTTCAGGGTACCTAACTATGAGGCTCACGTGGCATGTCTCTCACCAACTCATTTCTTCTCAGTCACCCAGGCAGCATCCCAGCAGAAACCACAGGGAGGAATGAGCCTCCTTTCTTTAACAAGCATATTTGTGAGACAAGCTTGGATCATTGTGGCTGGCAAGCAGTAGTTGTTATGCAATCACTTCAGGGTTCATGTCCTGAAGTGCAGTAGAGCGGGCAAAGGGACTGATCAGGCACCATCACCTGCTGCTCCGGAAGGAACCCTTCAACTGGAGGGGGAGTTCCTAAGCCATCCTCAAGCAAGGTAGTAGAACCTAGCTGTGCAGCTCTGTGGAAGGGAGCCGCAGTGTTCAGCTGATTCCCCTGCCGCCCTGTCAAAAGGGAGCATTTAAGACCATTTTTAAGAAGATGCACCATACCAAATATAGGCTGGCATATTAAGAAAACAGGTTTTATAGAAAAATTGCATATCTGAATGGTATAATTACTTTAAAATTATGATTTTTTAAATTTTTTGTGGGAAAAATGAATGTAAAGAAGTAGAAACAATTTAGCTGGCTTATTTCAAAAGGCATCATCTTTCTTAGTCTTTAAGCTACATTCACTAATTGAGAGTTACAGTTAAGGAACTGCTAAACTGTACTTTATGCTAAAACATACCATACTGCAATTCTTGCAGCTGCAGTATGCATTCTCTTTGAGCCCCACACTATGCTCTGCTGAGGAGACTAGCTCTTTACTGAACTTATGATAATTAAAATGTAGTTATGTACTGGCCTATGTATCCTTTGTACCCAATTGCACTTCTTCACCTGACTCCTGCTGTTTCAGTAGAGTGAAGGGACCTCATCCAACTCTGGGTACAGTTAACTCATGTCTAACAGGTGGTCCCAGAAATTGATGTGCATCCCTCTCCACCTTAAAGAACACACTCAACCAGCTCAACAGGGCTGAGAAACAGCTCTTTTGACACATTGCAGAAATACAGCATTCCCTCCAAGTTAACTGCAAATCACCTTATCTGCCATATTACTTCAGATTTGACAATGACAACTCTAGGTTGTGAGTGCCTGTAGATATGATTGTAAATGGATTACCGGGTTGATTGATGCAGCCACCCTGAGCTTAAACAAAAAGACAAAAAAAGAGCAACTGATAGGAACAAAGGTGAACATATTCCTAGTAGTAAACAGGAAATCCAGTCAAGGGTGCTTTGGGAATGGCATTTACTTTTCCATCCTGTGCACATGTTATGCCTCAAACATTAGTTTATTGACAGTCAAAATAGACTTATACTGCAATACCTAGTGACCCTTGGTAAGCTTTATTTTTAAAATAAATATTTAATGTATAACAAATACAGCAAGCACATTTCTTAGGAATTTCAGAAAAACTTCTTTATCTCAAGTTTTCTTCAAGAACATTCAATTACTACTGTACACTGTATTATCTGATGCAGTAAGCATTGGTATGACCTCGTTTTCTGCCAAAGAAAGAAGATGGTGTCCTTTCTAATAGATTTCTGTGACAATAAGTTGCCAAAGGTTGGTTGGTTTGCTTTGCTGTCTAGCCATCTGCAGTAAACAAGGTTAAGTAAATTCAGTGTACAATAGTATCAGACTTTTGACTTTTGTGTATGAATGTATCATTTCAATCAGTTCCATTTTCTAAAGCAACATACAAGATACATTTTAGCATCTGTGCTGTGGCTTCTGTGCTCTCAGTGGGTCTAAACAGCAGGAAAAGATTGATTTTACACACAAGAAATGCCTCTGAATGCATCAGATAAAAACTGTTCAGTCTGCAGTGATGTTCCACTAGTACATAGGGACAGAAGCAAACATTTTAGAAGTTCTTGTTCTGTGAAAGAAAGAATTGTGACACATATAGAAGTAACGTAAGGAAAAAAATAAGGTCAGTGGAATTCTTCTGATCCTTGGAAGGATTCATGTTGTGCTCAGCAGAACATGGTGGCTTTAATATTAGTAGGGTAGTGTACACACTCTGGGTTTCAATATGATTTTAAAGGAACTATTCAGCATGGAGAAACTAATTTGGGGGTGGGAATGGCACCATAGATAACTCTTTACAACTGCTAACTAAAACCAGGAGTGTATATACACTGTTCCATTGAGATCAAAGCCACCAGCCATCACTGGTTTTGCTCCCAGAATGAACCTACAATTTTGGTGTTTAATGTTGACAGTGGATAAAGTTCTAATGGTTCCTTAAATTTTGGAAAGGTGCTCTTTATGTTATCCTAAAATGTAGCTCATATCATAAATATCGAGGGGTTTTATATCCAAAAGTACTGTTTTCCTGCTAAAACATATGCATTAATAGCCGGTTTTACTGTTTGCAACAGGTTTATTTTATTAACTGTAGTTCTGTTTCTACAGAGCCTTCATGTTTGCCAATGGTCAATTAAGAAACAACAGATAATTAAGACAGAATAAGTGAATAATTCTTTATATTGAGATAAGACCAGTTCTTCTAAGCATTAGATCAGCAAACACCTTTATATATCCTGAAAATGTTAGTTTGATGGACCAGGTGTTAAAGACTTTGTTATTAAAGCTTCCTCTACATTGGTTTGCTTGTCATCTCTATGTAGAGCGGCTGCCAGCTCTGGAAACTGGGAGAAATAGTTCCTTGCAAGAATATGCTTGTGCTTTATCCTATGAATGAACACCATCTCATAAGCCTGCAAAGGGGAAAAGAGCCAAATTTAGTAAATGAAATAAAATAGTAAACTTAATCTAGTCTCTGTTGATCAAATGTCTATATGGTGAGCTTTCAAACTGTGAACATCAATGAGGCATATTTTTTCTTAATTGAAGGCAAATCAAGATACCGCAACAGAATTGCACAAGCACTCATTCTGTGCTTGCATGCATACAAGCCCCTCGGATGCATACTGGATTTCCCATTGGACTTGAAAATGGGGATAAGCACTTAGGTGAACAAGGATCCTATGAAGAAACTTTGCAAAGCAATATCCCAAGAAGAATATAGTCTGCCCTGCTCCAACTAATACAATGTGAAATTCTACAAAGGCTGGCACTAAACACAACTCAGATTTCATGAGAAGAAGCAAAAGCCCATCCAAACACTAAATAACACTTCTATGAAATGTCAGGAAAACGGCTTTTCATTTCATCAAACAGCAGAATTCTCCTGTGGGGCAGAATGTACTTAACATAACACAGAAAGAAAATTTCAGCAAAAGATTTATACCTTTTCAAGATTATTTAGTGTGAGGTGAGACTCAGCTTCATCTTTTCTGAGGAGAATAGTGTTCCAAGGAGACCATTCTTGATATTTATTCCATCTGACCATGACCAGGTCATAAAGGTTATCCCATGCACTAAGAACTGACTGAGAACCCCAGAAATTTTCAATCATATATTGTAGGTCTTGCTGCTGCAATTGGAAGTTGAGGTCAAAGAATTGAGCATATTCTATTTTAAAGCAATCATTACATCCATATAGAATTTAGCTTATATCCTGAATGAATGTTATTATATACCATGCAGTGGCTCTGAACTTTTAATTAAGGTTGAAATGCTACTGGAAAAACCCAATCTCTCTCTCTGTGATAACACTCAATCAGTTTAATTATTCCAAGACAAACATGCCTAATATGCAAGCTTAAAAATGTTTATTTTAGGCTCTCTCTGCAGATGGAAATTGTGCATTCTCTTTTGGCAGCTTTTTTGATTCTCAGCTTGTTGTTAGAACATTTTATTGCTGCTAGCCCCACACCAAATCCATGCTGTTTAAAAAGAATTAATGATTCAGTTAGTCAAATCCTCAAATATGGATTGTACACAATTCAAAGTTACAGCACTCCAAAACCAAGTACTCTCTGTTCCCAGATATATGGAGGAAAAAGCCTGAATTCTCAAGAGGGAATTTGACAAAAGATGCTGACTTTATAATTGGAATAGTTCATCAAAATCATTGCTGTGGTTTACACACTGCACAATTATGGTACAGATTATGGTACAGCAGATATTCTGCCATAAAAGGTTGAAAACCCATATAACTTTTAAGACCTATCAAGAAAAGCCTGCTAAAGCCAGTCACGCATTCATTTTAAAATATGCAGCTTAATAAAGCAAAGCAGCAACTGGAAAACCTTATGTAAGATGTCAGGAAATGGTGTGACAACCATTGACATGCTTGGAATCTGGTAATTGCGGCCATACCTTATGAGCATCAAGGTAAAGTCCAATAAAGTGTGTTTACAACAAATATTTTATTTATTTATTTATTTAAAGTTTTTGTATGCCGTCCCCTTGCTATATAGCCTCAGGACGGCTCACACAAATAAATAAATAAATAAATAAATAAATAAATAAATAAATAAATAAATACAAATGCAATTAAAACCTGGAAACGCATACAAATTACTAAGCAAATTAGCCAGGAAGATGGCAAAATATTTAGTATCACTAAACAAGCTGACCTGTGGGACCAGATTTTCCAAATATTAGCTATGGCATTTAATCAGAACTTAATTATGGCCATGAAGACTTCCTGATGCCACAATGTCTGTGTTCAGCAAGCTCTAGGACAGTTCTAGCAGCAGACTTTATAACTGCTTTGGACTGGGGAACAAATATCCATCCATTGATCTGACTGACCAGAATACAAATAATACAAATTTTCTGCCACTAGCTGTATATATGAGTTGATGAGAGGAAAGTCTACCAAATACATGCAGAGCACAGACTGGAGATAAATACTTTTCATGAAGTTTAAGATAACTGCCTATTTTTAGCAATTAAAAAATCATCTCTGAAGAGCATGATTTCTCAGTATGAAGAAACTAAACCCAGTTTAAGCAAATTGTAAGACATATATGATCCATGAAAACGAAAACTAAAATATGTGGTGCTATTAATCTTTTAAAATGTATTGCATATGTCCTAAACAGCCTGACATTTCTAACTGTGGTATATGAATATGTTCAATGGGATTTTAACCTAAATTGTAGCCTATCTGATGGCAATAATTTTATTATTTTTCTATACCCTCTAATAACCAAAGCTCTTTTAGTAAGTGTACAGGCCTGAATAAAAATAAACAAAATGAACAGTAAATGATTGAGACCGGGTTTACTGATGCAACAGAAAGAAGCCCTGAGGTACCACTGCAAGACTCCAAATAAACTATTTTTGAATTTGTTAAAAGCTTTCTGCAAGCAGGCAAACAACATAACAGGGAAAAAGCTGGGCTAGAACTTTTCTCCCTGTCATGCTAGATTTCTTCCAGCAGGAAGGAGTTTTTGGTACAAGGAGGAAATATTACAGTACAATATTACATACAATATTACCGCATACAAAAATATGTACACTGGGTAAAACTGTGTATGAGTGGGGATCTATTAAGGAAAATTGCTGGCAAAAATGTATATAGTATGTAAATATTCAAACAAAAGATGTACAACTATTCATGTAAGTTGTTTATAATTGCAAACTCACACATTTAATTTACATTTTAGTTCCAAACTCATGTGAAATGGGATGGAATAAAATAATGCTTAATAATCTGAATGTTATGGTAGGTGGAACAGAAATATGTGTCCCTTCCTACAGCTAAGCAGTTGTAGCTGCAAGATTAGGAGAGGAAGAGAGAGCAGGCTGCAGAAAGATGGTAAAAACTTCAGATAGGTCCGCAGGGCAGGAGTTTGCTATGAGGGGAAGGGGTGCAGTGTAGCAAGTAAAACTGATTTTCTCTGCAATGAAATATCTCTTTTCTGGAGCTGAGTCCAGTGTCTGCTTCTAAAGATGTGGCCTGAGAATGAAAATTGGACCCACTCCTTCTCACTTGTTTTTTATCCTTTGAGGTCTGAAATGGGAACACTGGAAAAATTATGTTTCAAAGAACGCACTCAAATCAAGGAACAGAACATGTGAGAAGACTTGATAAGCTTGTTTCAGTTCATGCTACTTTAAATTTTCTGAAGTTCATGAACCTCAAAAGGAGTGTTAAAAATAAGAAACTATAAGTAGCTTTCATATACTTCTTTTGATCAGAGAAATAAACCAGAAATACTATCCTTTCCAAGGATACATTATTTACTCACATAGAGTGGAGTATAAATCTTTTTTTCTCAAAAGAACAGCTAATTCTGTTTATATGCAATGACAAGCATGTGTGGCAGGGACTGTTACATGACATCCCCTTGGAATTTTACTAATGAGTTTCCCTGTGCCTGGCAGACACTTGGACACAATGGGGGTCGGGCCCTCCTCCATCCCCTTTCCTCCTGCCAGTATCCCACAGAAACTGCAGAAGCACTGAAGGAAGCACAGAAGGATTTGGAGGAGGCAGTGCACAGCGCAGGCAAAGGACTGTCAAATCATGGCAGGAAATGAGGGAAATGGAGCAGGGGTCTAGAGCTTCTCTATTTGCCTTCCCTTCTAAGGAAGCAAGAAGAGTAATTCATCCTCAACTCGAGCAAGATGCAGTATGTGGACCCAGCCATTTCCTTAAGCGAAGTGAAGCCACATGGCTTCCTCTTCTGCCACTTTCCCAACTCCCTAAACAGGGTTTGAGTGAGTAGCACATGGTGGAGTCTCTGCTTATGTTGGGAGAGCAGGATTGTTCTCAAGAACCCCTTGGCTAGAGTGGTCCCTTGACCCCTTTCGTGCTCCCCTTGCCAAGTGACTCTATAGGCTTTCAGCTTGACCATGACTTGGTATGTTACCTGGTTTCAGATGACACACTAAACCATGGGGGTGAAAGAGACTGCTAAACTCCACTATAAGATGTAATGAGTTGGGCTGCTTTATAAACTACCCCAGGGTGGCTTATATAAACCACCCTCCAGGAAGTAAAGGGGAGTCAAAAGACATGCTAAGAATCACCCCTCATGCCTTAGCATGTTGAGCAACCAAGTCACTGTGAGCAATCATGAAATAACAGTGAAAACTTCAACAGTATTATAGAGTGCAACTGAAGAGGGTTCTGCAAGAAAAAAAAAGTCTTTGCATTACTCCATTTATTTTCATTAGTTGAAAAATCCTTCGCTACTCATTTGTCAGAATTATATTTTTATAACTTATTTGGAATTACTTCATCTACTTCTCTAAGTCCCATTGCTTTCATTTGCCACTGATAAAGAAATTCAGCTGACTAGGCTTTTGCAATCCCTGCCTTTTGTATTCATTTGACACCAAACTCCTGTTACTACCTGACATTTAGGTTTATCTTTGCTTCACCATAAAAGGTCTGCCACCAAAACAAAACTTCAGGGTATTCTGACAAGTAGAAATTTGTAGAACTTTGAGCCATGGGGAATTTAAGCGTAAGAGGATGTTTGTAACTGGATGAAAACCACCAAGGTATTTTGGGAGAATTTGCAGTATCCATCATACCTAAACTTGCTTTTCTCTTGTAATAATATGTAATATTAAGGATAACTTAGGGGGACAGAAAACTGTATCATTTAGTAAGGTGCTAAAATTAAAAAATGTAAGACTTTATTTTACTACAACAGTAATTATAAACGTAGTGAGAAAAGTAGCTGCAAACTGCAGTATATCTTAGTTTCTCCCAGTTAGGAAAATATATTGAAAAGATAAGAATGTATATACGTGACAAAAGGTGAGTCTTCTGTAATCTAAATACTTTTATACTCTATGATTAATAAAGTTAAAATATAATGCAAATTTCTGTCATGTTTTGTACTTTTCAAATGTTAACTTTAACATCAGTATTTCCTGTTCTCTGCATACCTGTATTATGAAAGCAATCTTAGCACCATCCTTGTAATTTACTTCAGATTCACGGAGATTTTGGAGCATATGTTTGTATTTCAAAAACGCTTCCCTCTTACGAGCATCATTATCCAGCTTGCAGCACATGCGACACCGGCCAACAGTGTGTGAACTAGCAGAGACGGCAAAATCAGTAGAAGGCAAATACCGTTTGCAGCCAAGGCAAAAGTGAATGTTGTGATAAAGCCTCATTGGATCTGGTGGAACCTGCAAGGAAAACAAATATTGTAAGGTATCATAAGATTGTTTTCAAACTAGGCTGGTCCAGAAAGAGTGATCCAATTTTTCCCAGCAATAATAGCTCTCCCATTCTTTTTGAGGGAGGAAGCTCATCTGTGTGTACGTTCAGTTGCATTATTAGATCTTTTACTTCCAGTGAAATCAATGGAGAATGCCCTGATTCAAGAGAATCCATGTGCACACATACACTCACCCACAATTCAGAATTATGGTAAAAGAAACAACTATGTAATTGACAGTTGCATATTTAAATATAAGTTTGCAAAACTTCAATGCCTTATCAATTTAGTTTTATTAAACAGATGAACAGCACAAGTTTTATAATTAGTAGCAAGGCAAAAATGTATTAAATGCATAATGTGACAGAAACAACCAAGTTGTACTGGCCTACAATCACTGTTATCTCAGTGTCAACTTTAAACCCAGTCTCAATTAAAACCTGACTCAATTTGTTCCACAGTAGCTGTTGATAATTGTATGCAAAGTGACCTTTGCTAATTGAAGAAATATATATCTACAAAACAGTTCTGCTGTAGCACAGCATGCAGTCTGTCAAATGCAATCTGTTCCCTCACTCTATACAGTAAACCCAGTGATTATGAACATATTTTTGAAGATTGCTATGTGAGAATTAGTTCAAAAGGGGAAAATAGTCTGTTGAATTATATAAAACACTTTGAAAAGAATGAAAGTATCAATATGGACCACTAGGACTGTGTTACTGAGAAGATGCAGACCCAAAGATAGATGGTGCAGAAACACTGAATGGCTTAAGGAACACCCATTTGTGCCTGGCATAGCTTAATGCATTTACTTTTCTTCGGGTGAAACCTGAACTAAGCTCGCACACTTTAGCTGTAATCCTGTATGCACACAGCCTGGAAGTAAGCCCCATTAAATGCAATGAGATTGAGTCTGAGGATTGCCCTGTTACCTAGGTACTTATGTCATGAATTCATTTTATTGTTTCAAGGTTGCTTGGTATTTCTCTTTCCTTCTTACATGGTGTGAATTAGCATTCTTTGTGCAACAATAATAACCGATACGTAGCTTTAATATAGTGCCTTCATATACAATGGGTTGTATCCATTGTTAGAGTAGATGTACTTAGAGTGAACTGAATAGGACTTAAGTTAAACGACCACTACTCCTAGTATAGCTCATATTAACTCCCTTATTTCTCTATCGTTATCCTTGGAGCATAAGAAATTTCTTATTGCAATATTAACTGAATAGGGAAAGTATTAATTTATCTGTTATCCACCAATTCAACTGCCTCTGGGTAGCCTCTTTAGAGTATGGAGTTTTGCTTAGCTAAAAATCAGATTATCATAAACTGGTAATAAATGTAGCAAAAGGAAAAATACCTTGAGATATCTAGCAACTTGAGGGTTAAAAAGTGGTGTTTTAATATACTGAAGAAACAGTGTACATATCCTTTGTCGAAGTCCTTGTAAATTACATTCCTTCACAGCCCTCATCATGAGGTCTGCTTCTCTGTCAATTAATTCCACTATCTCATGTGTGAGTTTACAATTGTGTTCCTGTAAAGGGAAACAAAACATTTAGCAAAATATGTGCACAGAACTGACAGTAAATTTGATAAGATAAGATACATGCCCCAAGGCATATTAAAGCTCAGCTCTTTTGGAAATGTGACATCAAAAAAAATACGGAATAATACATCATTCTTGCTCAGTGGAGTAGCTTCAGCTGGTTTCTGTTATGGACTGGAAGGAGGAATAATAAGTGATAGGCCACTACTAGTCAGTATGAACCTTCTGACACATCTGCAGGGAGTTTCTGAGCCCTACTGCCAAGGCTAGGTTTACTCCTTCCCAAATGTCCTATGGTCAGGACTGGCTGGTCAGTAAATGTATCTATTAGGTTGGATGCTGCTTTTTATTTTTATTTCATTTTTGTTATGTGTTTTATTTTACTGTCACATAAAATATAGCTTTGGTCAATGCTAATTGTGCCTGTAAGTTGTCTTTCATGCAGAAAGGATGGCTAAGAATCAGATCAAATTGTCAACTACTCCCTTCAGTCAAGTCCTGGGAGGGGACACAACCCTAACTGCAACCCTAAAAGGAAGGTGCCTTGAATGTTCTTTTCAAAGCCAAGAAACACAGAACTTAACAAAACACCTTGTGAGATTCCTAAAAATACAACTGGCATCTTTGTAGCCATGTGGTCCTTTGCATGGGAAAGAGTTTATTGACATTCTCTGTTTAGTTAAGTGCATTGCCCAAATATAAAATAAGAGTTTATTTGGAAAGGAAAGCAGAAAAAACACAGAAAGGCAACATGCACATCTGGAGAAATTAAAGTGATAGCCCCACAGTAAATCTAATCTGACTTGTTACATGTTACCTGCTTGAATGCAGCCTTGGGCTCCATCACATATGCAGAGTTAATTGCAGAAAGGTTTGCTTGAAAGGCAGCATCTTGGCCTCTATTTAGATGTTACATGGAATGCTCCTTGGAAGGGAATGATGGGGAACCTGAGCTCTCTAAACTCTAGCTCCTTAGCCAGCATATCAGAAGTCGCATCATTCACTTTCCTAATGGCTCTAAACCTGTATCTCGAAAGAGCCGCTGTGTTTGAACCAGTTTGCTTATTCTTAGAGAGAGCTTAGGTTTTTAGATATGTATCACAGAATGTTAGGTAAACAAATGCAGCTGCCCCAGCATGGTGTCAACATACTAGACATTGTTTGCGACACTGTTGCACTTCATCAGAATATAGGGGTTTTCACAGTTACCATTCAGGATGCCAGAAATTACTAGCTGTCAGAAATGTTAATGATTTCTACATCCACTGTTCACTGACTTTCAACACCTGCCTGTCCAGTCTAGATCAAATGTATGGTATTATTACATGCATGAAGTATTCACTGACTACAGTGAATGAGAACGTCTATCACCCAATGAAAAAAGGAGGTGAAGGGAGCCCAACCCATATTGGAACTATATGGTAAAGGGTGAAGCCCCTCTACTTTCCAAATTAGGAACCTGATCCGAATTGACTCCCCCACACACCAGCCATGTATATTTAAAAGGACACTCATGCAATTGCTAACCATGTGAACAAAACATTAGTCTGGCTATGAGACACAGAGAAATCAAAGGAACTTACTTCCTGATTCAGTGTGTTCAGAAAAACGCACTGGCTCTTTTGAGATACAAGTTTAAAGCCATTAGGAAAGTGAGTGGTGCCACTTAAGTGTGACTTCTGACATGCTGGCTAAGGATTCAGTGTGCTCAGAAATTAAAACTGCAGTAGTAGACCACAATTTTATGCAAGCAAGTCCCATTAGGTTCAGTAGGCCTTACTCAATAGGTAACTATGCTTAGGAGTTCAGCCCTAATTTCTTAATTCAGTAAGCAATCAGTATACACTGTACAAAACACAGATGGTGGCTCATGAGTGCAGAATAGCCCTTTCAAATACTCAGCACTTGCTGACATGCTCTGTGTGATCTCAGAGAGTTTCTTTAAAAGCTTGAAACATACCTTCACTGTATGCTTCAGTGTTAGCAGCACATCTAGACGCTCATCTTGGGGAAGGTTCTTCATGCTAATGCTGCGGTAAATTTCAAGCAGTTCCCTGGCACGCAGTGTGAACTGTGTATCCATCTCTGTGGTTTTGCCATCAAAGGCTTTCCATTTTTTTGGTGCTGCACACTTCAGAAACATTTTGTATCATTGAGTTAGAATGAATGGATGGACAGAAGAAAGAAGTGCAAAGCTCAAAAGTTACCCTTAGAAATTCATTGAGTTCTTCTAAACACTTGACACTTGGCAAAAGAGTTATCTGAAGAACCACTGCTATCCCAAGAAACTTGCAGCTATTTGAAAAATGTGGAACATTTTCTTTTAATTTTTACATTTACCACTCACATTCAGTGGGTTTACTGTAAAATCATGCTTTCTGATAAATGTAAAATCAGACCATAACTGAAAACAAGCAAGAAAGAGGCCATTTGCTCTTCTGGATTACTTTTGTGGATAAATCACAGGTTGCTGCCAGAATATAGCTAAAAATGTTTCCCTCATTAGAATTACAGATTACATAGTAATCCAGCAGATGATCCAGCTCTCCTGCTCCATGGCTGTACACAGAGCTATGCCCTTAGAGGAGGCACTTCAATTGTTGATCCTTCCTGCTCCACTGCACTGCCCTGAAGAAATCTTGGAAGAGAAGTTAAAGAGGGAAAAATAGGGTGGAGCATGAGTGAGGGGAAAGAAAGAAGGGATGTTTACATTTGGTTGATCCAAAAGTCTCTTCATTGCCATTCCCACCCACTCTTTGGGAAGTAACCTAGAAAGCCAAAAGGTACATCTAGCTGCACATATTTTAAATGAAGGATGGAAGAGTTGTAAAAGTCTCTGTGCTCCTTCTGCCCTTCCTAGCTATTGGTTGCAGAGTTTTGGCTAGACAGAGGACTCTGAACTCAATTTCACTCTCAGAACCGTCTGTTCCTTAGAACTACACTTGGTTCATTGAAGATGAAGGTGAACAAATAGCACTTTCTAAATGCATCAAGGCTGCTAAAACTCTTGAGTTATGGAAACTCTTAATTCTTTTCTGGAAATAATCAATGTTCTACCAATATTCTACTGGAATGTAATGACTACTGACAAACAAGTCCATGCTGAGTTTCTACATATTGTAGTGGTATTAAACATAAATCTTATGCCAGAAAAAATGCCATTGTCATTTGGTTGTTGTTCTACCTGAAAGTAGCCTCATGAGATATTAGCACATGTCAATGGAGAACAAATATTCAGAATAATGAAAGTAAATTGAAGCCATTTTGAATTTATAGTCAGGTGGCTGGGGGTGAGTTGATGAGATAGGATGGGACAAATAAAGTTTCCTTCTAGGAAATTAATTTTAGATATACCTGAGCACAAACAACAGTCATTTTAAAGTTTGACTTAGGAAGAATACAGTTATGTCCTGGTACTATGTATTGTAGGTTCTATGCAGTAGCATAATATGGAGATGCATAATATACCCTCAGAGGGAATTGGAGGCAAAAGAATTATAATAAACAAAGTCACCTCACCCTTGTATGCTTTTGTTATTTGAAGGCAGCATTAGTCTTTCTATTAAGCTCCTTGTATATAAAATAAATGCTCAGCTCAGGGTGACAGATTACTTTCCAGCAAAGACAAAGGGTAGGATGACAGGTGAGCAAGGGTGGTGGCGATATCAGGAGATAGCCAGTTCTTGTGTCAATATTTGCTCTCTCCTTTCCCAGCCTGTTCAGTAAACTTCAGGCAGAACAGATTAGCTCAAGGGTTCCTTCCTTCACACTCCCAAACCAAACCCTCCCTTCTCCACCCTCTGTGCCTTGACTGTTCATACCAACAGATTTAAAAAGAGAGGGACAGATTATGCCCTTTGCTATTCTGAGCTCAAGAAGCACTATTCCCAGCTTTGCTCCTGTGCATACAAAACTCAAATGTAAAGCCAGAGTTTCCTCTTGGTAGCACAAATCTGTAGACAGTTAGGAATGATCTAATTTTCAAGTTATGTAAGCACAAATAAATAAATAGGTGCTCATAAGAGAGAATTTGACAGATTCTTAGTAGGTTTAGTTCTATAATTAAATGAGGGGCTGATAATTGGAACTGATGGGTGGAAGCCAAAACTGATTTAAAAATCTGACAGGAAGCAGGTTTGTCTAAATAATGAAGTACTGAATCTTTCAATTAGAGCTAGTAAATGCCAAAACAATCAGAAACAGAGGACTGTTGCTCTAGCATTTCTAAAGGTTTATTAGTTTGCTTCCCCATGCATGCAGGATAAAGCAAACTGTTCATTAAGTATTATAAGTCTATAGGATGGCAGTCAAAGCCGTTGTTGTCTTTTAAAGTCAGTGTTCACAGATGACTTTTTATGTTCAACCAACCAGTTTTAATTTACTCAGCTGAGAAACTGTCTCTTCAGTCTTGTAGCTTAATACATACACATAGACATACGCTCACACAGAGTTTAAACAGCATAGGTTTGGATCCAAAAAGATGCTATAGAGCACTGAAGATACTTCTGTTCACACAAGTGAATGTCTCTGCTTCCATCAGCCTCTCCCAGCTGAAGCTCCGTACACTACTCAACAAAGTGTTCCAGTCAGTTCCCCAAAGCCTAGAAGCAGGCAGCTGAAGTTAGGGGGCTGAAAAGGGAGGAGTGGATGGGATACCCCAACATGCAATCTGAAATCTCCCCATATTCTTTGGATACAAGCTACTGCTCAGTTGGGATTCTTCTGCTTATGTTAAACATAGTGTTTAGAGGGTCACAGAACTTTTCAGAGCTCCAGCTCCAACCTTGGAAAAGTGCTCTAACCTCAGATGGTTGGAGCGCCCTTCCCCACTTGCAGTCAGTGTGGAAAGAACTGCACTGGCTGTTTCTTCAAGACTGAAGAATGACTTGTGAGTAGAGGTTTAGGGAGCATCTTGGGGGACAGGGAGAAGAGAGACTGCACTGTCAAGATGCAACATATTGTCAGTGCCTCCGCCTCCTTGTCTCTCCTGTTGAAGTACTGCAATTAGCCAAAATCAGCAGTGTAGCTGTCCTGCAAAGCAGGAAGAGCTCCTCCAACCATGCACGGGATGCCCATTGTCGTCTGAATTTGGAGGGCTACAGGCATCCACACAGGACTGCACAATACATCCATTTAAAAAGTTAATGTTTCCTTTCATCCATAGCCAAAACCATTTTGTTTTGGGGACTCTTTTATAAGCTCAAAAACTATGCAAGAAATTTTGAATATCCCCAATTCTTTTGCCAGCTCTGCCTTTCTGCCTTTTAGTTTGGCGGCTAAAAATGGAATTTACAATAATCCTGTTATCTAAATTGCTTCAGAGAGCAGGTTTATTGTAAATTGCATTCAGTTGGCAGCATATGAATGCAGAACAGGGTATTGGAATGGGGAGATACACCCAAAATTAGGAGAGATAGAAGGGATGTAATGAAAAATTACACAAAATAAATAAAGACAATTTGGAAATAAAATAACAAAACATATAACAATGTAGTTGAAAAGTATTTGGTATTATTTGCAAGGCTATTTTTGTAGATGTCTGATAATTTTGTTTAGGCGATCTGGCAGTGGAAGCCTAGATCTTAATTGTAATTTTAAATTGATCCCATGTAGTACATGGTCCCACAAAACTGGAAAGGATGTCAAAGGTACCTCCAATGAGTGGCCATTCACCTCTGCTTAAAACTTCTAACAAAGGCACATCCACTGCCTTTCAAGGCAGCTTTTTGGGTATTTGAAGATGGTATCATGTCTTCTTAATTATCTCTTCTTCAGGCTTAACATACCTAAGTCGTTCAACTTGCTTCAACTCTCTAGGATCAGGAGCCTCAACATCATTGTCACCATCTTCTTTGAATATTTTCCAGTGTGTTAATATCTGTCTTAAAATATGATGGCCAGAACAGGGCACTGAATTCTAGAAGAATGTGCGACTAAAGCAGAGTATAGTGATATGATTTCTTCTTCTGGTCTACTTCCTGTGTTCTAGATCAGTAGATCTACTTGTCCAGATGCAGTCTAAATTGTATTAGCTTTTTTAGCTGCCAGATTGCACTGCTGTTTTGTGTCTAGATGCTTTTCCCAGCTACTCCCAAGTGTCACCCAACCTGCACTTGCGCACCTATTTTTTCCTACCTAAACACAGAACCTTACATTTTATCTCTGCTGAAATTCATGCTGTTCTCTATCCTGTCAATATTACACTGAATCCTGATTTGTGAGGTACTAACTATCCCACCAAGTTTGGTGTCATTTGCAAATTTGATCAGCACTCCCCCCCCCCTCCGCACATACACACTCTTTTACATCCATGTCATTTCAACCCCATTGGGTCCAACTCCCTGCCGTTGCAGGACTTAAGTTCACACCATCCCACTCAGATAGCTGCCCAGTTTCTTTTTGAATATCTCTAGCGTGGGAGAGCCCACAACCACTCTAGGCAACTGTCCTATTGCTCTGACAATGAGGAAACTTTTCCTGATATCTAGCCTGAATCTGGGTTGTTGCAACTTGAACTGATGACTTGGTGTCCTACACTCTGGTACTAGTGAGAAGAGATCTCGACCTTCCTCTTTGTGACAACCTTTGAGGTACTGATAGCAGGATATCATGTCCCCACTCAGTCTCCAGTTCTCTCAGTCTGTCCTCACAGGACAGTGTTTCCAAACCCTGGATCTTTTTTGTTCTAGTCTCATGTAACAGTGGAGTTTCCTGCTAGGTGACTGCCTTAGGCAAACTTCTCTATATGAAACTGAAATAGGCTGAGTACCATCCTCTTCTTTACCGTGTCCAATACAAGAAATGAACTTTTTTTCAAAAATGGTCAATAATGTGAGGGCTGGAAAATCAAGTTAAGGCCATGGGACTAGGGTCCATACCCATGCATTTCTTTTTTTCTGACAGCACCAATAGCAGCTTTGGGAAAGGGGAAATTTAGAGAAAATGGCAGGTGGGAAAAGGGACTGTGATTCAGGCTTCTCTGTAGCTATTATTTTAAAACTGTAATTAAAGTCCTATAATTATAGATTCCATGCATCACATCTAGTGTGGTCCTAAGATCCTGGGTTTATGCACCCAGCTTCTTCAGATTAATAGTTTGAAGTCAGACTGCTGTCATCTTTCCTGTCTCCCAGACATGCAAAATTGGGGTCATCTTACATTTTGACTTTTCCTCCCTGTATTCCAAAATTTATTTGTTTGTTTGTTTATTTAAAACTTTTATATGCCATCAACACATGCCTCGACATTTTGGGACGGCTTACGAATGTACAATTAAAACCAATAAAATAATGACAATTCCATACAATTATATAAAAACAAAAACAAAAAAGCGAAGGTTAATGATAAAATATTAACTTTTAAAATAGCAATTAAATAAAAAGGTTTTTACCAGGCACCAAAAAGAATATAAACTCGGCGCCAGGCGCACCTCTCCAGGGAGCGCATTCCATATTCTGGGCGCCACCACAGAGAAGGCCCTGCTCCGGGTAGTTGTTCTTTTTTTCTCCTTTACAGAGGGCTCCCAGAGCAAAGCCTCTCCCACTTAAGGGGCGTGAGGGCATGTAAGGGAAGAGGTGCTCCTTCAGGTAACCTGGTCCCAAGCCTTTCAGGGCTTTATATGTTAAAACCAGCACCTTGAATTGGGACCAGACTTCAACTGGGAGCGAGTGGAGCTGGTAGAGGACTGGTGTTATGTGAGAGTAACGGCCGGTCCCCGTCAGCAGCCTGGCTGCTCTGTTCTGTACCAGCTGAAGTATCCAGAACTTTTTCAAGGGCAGCCCCATGTGGAGCACTTTGCAGTAATCCAAGCAGGAAGTTACCAGAGCATGTATCACTGTTGCTAGGGAGTGCTCATCCAGGTAAGGACACAGCTGATGGATCAGTCGAACTTGTAGAAAAGCACTCCTTGCCACCGCCGCCACCTGGAACTCCAGTGACAGCTCTGGGTCAATGAGTACTCCCAAGCTGCGGACCCTGTCCTTTAGAGGGAGTGCTACCCTGTCCAGGAGTGGGTCAAAATCACCTACCTGAAGACCTGCACCGCCCACCAACAGGCCTTCCGTCTTATCTGGATTGAGGCTCAGTTTATTGGCCCTCATCCAGCCCATTATCTCAGTCAGGCACCAGTTCAGTACAACCACTGCCTCACCTGGAGCAGATGTAAATGAGAGGTAGAGCTGGGTATCATCAGCATACTGATGACTCTGCAGCCCAAACCTCCTGATCACATCTCGCAGCAGTTTCATATGGATGTTAAATAGCATGGGCGACAAAATAGAGCCCTGTGGGACTCCATGGCAAAGCTGCCATGGCGCAGAGCTATAGTCCCCCAGCACCACCATCTGGAATCGGCCGGCCAGATAGGAGTGGAACCACTGTCACGCAGTGCCTCCTACTCCCAAGTCAGCCAGCCTATCCACAAGGATACTATGGTCAATGGTATCGAAAGCCACTGAGAGATCCAGGAGAACCAACAGGGACACACTCCCCCGTCCCTCTTCCTGCACAGGTCATCATACAGGGCGACCAAGGCGGATTCAGTACCATAACCGGGTCTGAAGCTGGACTGAAATGGATCCAAATAATCAGTTTCATCCAAGAGTGCCTGGAGTTGTCCTGCCACCACCTGCTCTACCACCTTGCCCAAAAATGGAATATTGGCCACAGATCTAAGTTGGTGGCCACCTCTGGGTCCAGGGATGCCCTCTTCAGGACAGGCCAGATCACTGCCTCCTTCATATACCTGCTAATCCCTTCCCTGGCTTCATATCCTCCATTTCCAAAATCCACTTCCTTTGCCTAATTCTCTTATTCCTGTCTTGGGATGCAAACCTATATTAACCTGTTACAAAGACACCCACTGAACTCAGTTTTAGATAAACATATCTAAGAAATGGGTGCCAGGCCTTAAATCGTGCCAATGAGTTTGTCAATCCCATGTGAACTGCAGCAGTCAAATACTCTTCCTCCACATGGAGGTATAACTTTATATAGTTGAGGCTTCCATTATATCCTGCTCAGGTTAAAAGACTGCACATAATCCTGGGCACTTCTGAAGGTGATTGCTTGCAGCCTGCAAACAGCAGCAGAATCTGTATCCCACTCTGATATACTTTTTGCTTGTGCCAGAAAAACAGTAGCCTCTTTTATCCACTATACTATTCTTTATATGATCTGATTTTAATCCAAAGCACTGATCAATTAGTTGCTTCCTACCTCTAAATTCTCCTCTTTTAATATCACAGTGACCAAAACTTATACTGAAGAATAGTTCTTCACAGAACCAGAATATGAAGAACAAAATGTACCAATTAACAAATTCAACAGAGTATTTTGAGCTGATCCAGTTGCTCTCTGAAGGATACTACCACTGAATGACTCTTATACCAGTACAGCACTATAGAGGATAACAACTTAAACTTGCAATTCACTTATTAAACCAAACAGTAAATGCCAAATGACTTGAAGTTTAACTTACTTGTATCCATTTAGTATTTCACAGATACTGGAATCAACCAGTCTACTAAATCACTGTTGTTGGGTTGAATTGTATAAGGACCACTCATACAGCCCTTTTAATGTAGCAGGATGTGTGCTGAAAGATGCACACTGCATCTATAGTGAAACAAGCATCTGACAACTCTTCCATGCTTTCAGATGATAGCTCACTACGCCACTGCTTGAGCCAATTTAGATGTTTGCAGTGACGCGTTCACTGGTGATCTTGGACGTGATCAAGCATTGTGATGCTATCTTTGTTTGCAGTATACAGCAGGACCCCAGAAGGAGGAACAGGGGCATTAGGGAAAAGATAGTTCTTCTCGCTATGCATGAAGAAAGCAAGATGCAGATAGGCGCTTCACAGGACTGCAGCATAGAATTTCCATTGAATGTCATTATGAAACCTCTTTAGGCAAGTCATGTTGTCAAGCCATATGTGGCAAACTGAAGCCTCATTGCACCACATCTTTAAGCATCCTGAGCAGAAGATGCAAAGCAGGGAAACAAAGAGGTTTCCGGCACTAGGTGTCCCCGTTGGTGTTCTCCCCATATAAAAAGAACAGAATTGTTGCTATAATCCACTTTGACTTTTCCCTAACCCTAACTCCAGTAATTCTGGGATCAACCACTGAGAACACAAATATATTAAAAGTTGATTTTTTTAAAAAAAAAAGCATGGAAAGTAACAATTCTTCATTATAGTCCTAATGCAAAATCTAGACTACCATGCATCTCTGAAACAGCCTGATCTGAAACTGAAAATTGTAAGAAAGTCCATCTATGCAAGTTGTCTTAGAATGTAAGCTCAAAGATGTATGAATGAGTTTACTGTAAAACACTTAGCCACTCAAGCATCTAATGTAGAACTAATTGAAAGTTGTATTGTGCACAGTATTCACTATAAGATGACACAAGCAGATTAAGATGTAAGTTGTGGTTTCTCTATTCTTAGGTGAAAAGAAGTGCCTATCAATCTTTATGGGGATACAGAAAAGCTTTTAATAACTGTACATAATGGCCAATTTTACTGCAAGGCAGGCATAAAGTCCACAAATCATATCTTCAACTGGTCAAGTTAATTACTATGCTTTTCTTCGGTCTGCTGCCAGTTTATTGATGTTAATTCAAGTTTTGAACTCTGGGTACATTTCGTATTCTGAATGAAATTATAGCACTGACCTTTTCCAAAAAGAACAGGACTGCTTTCTCTTGGTTCTCTTCATCTGCATTTATTTTGTGCCTTCCAATGGAAGCAATCAGCTGGGCCTCCTTTTCTAAAAGTCCACAGAGAGCTGCTTTCCGTTCAGCTCCAGTGAAAGTGCTGTTGATGCGCTCAAGCTCTTCTTGCCTCCATACTGTATCAACACAAAGACAGATTATTTCTTTCTTTCATCTTATCTCCTCTGATTTAGCTTCCACATGGCATCAATATGAAATGTACTCTTTATGTTAGCTTGGTGCTTAAGCAGTGATGAAAAGAGATTGTGTGTCATTCTGGTACTCTAAGCTTAAAGATATACACTGCAAAAATGAGTTGTTTCGTGTGTGTGTTTGACTTCTTCAATACCTGCTGGTATTTTGTACTTGTTGATGCCTGCCCACCTTTGCCATAGTCCTTAATATACTAGGATAGCCAAGCATACAAGAAGAACTGTGTGGAAAGCTTGCTTCAAGGATTATATGTACTTATGGATCCCCATGGTCCATGGAGTTGTGCATCCCCTGTTCCTTCTCTGCATATCATATGGCAGTGGTTACTTGCCACAAGCCAAATCTCAAGAATTAGACAGTGTCACCACAGCACACATTCTTGTACATATGCAGCTTCCCATGTCCCTAGCTCAGAAACAGGCAGCAACACAGCTAGAGACAAGGAGGCATGTAGGCATATCACTGTGCTAGGCTACCTTTCCTCTCAGCATGGCACAAGCCCTCATCACCTGCATTATTTTCGCTACTCATTTCATCTGATGTCAGTGCATGTGCCCCAGATCTGGTACTGGTTAGCAGTTATTCTTTACCATTTGAGATCTTCTTTTGGCAGAGAGTTCTTCAAAAAGTTTGCTTTGGCAATATAATGCCAAAACAAGAGAAGCTACCCTGCACATTGAGTGGAGAGAGGACATGATCCTCAAAACATTTCTAAATGTGAAGCATGTGCTCACGTGACTCAAAATAGGTGCTGTTGCTCTTTTTCATAATGAACTCTGAACCGGTTTGAACAAAATACTTTATTCAACATATCAACAGATGCAAGCATCCCTGTCTATGTGTGAACTGCGGAATTATGGCTGGTGACAGCAGTAATCCCTGTAATTGCAAGTGCAGTGGGGAAGCATGTCATTCTGTGATGACAGGAATTACTGCTCACCGTATTTGTGATCATCTGGCTCATGTGGTACATTTATCCAGCAACAGAAACAAAAAGAGTTTTGAGAAAACTTCTTTTTAGAACTCATCTTTAATGTGTGAATTAATCCAGTTACATATTGCACCACTAACGTTCCTTATGTCCTTCAATCAATATCCCATACAGCTATCTGAATACATGTAGTATTTACACTGCAATTTTATGAACATTACATTGCTTAAAATGAGATTGCTATGCATTCACAATGCTATAACTAAAAAACTGCATTTGTCCTAAACAGTATCCCAATGCTGTTATTATACACTGCAAAACCAGCACATTAAAATGAGAATACAGCATTCTATTACTGGAGCATTGATAAATGAGACAAATACTTCAAGCAAGACCATAAATTATCCAATTAGGTTTCTGTGCCAAGGTTAATAATCTCCTTAGGAACAGAGAATGTCATTTTTCTACACATGGAACTACAGCAGCTGGAGACAGAACCAATGGATGTGCATTATTTTTAATAGCTCCTTGGATAGGAACAAGAACACAATATTCTGAATTCTCCAGCTGTCTGATAAAGTAAACTATGCCAGTGAAATGGGCAAATTCTTGGAACAGAAAAATAAATTGTCTGCATACTCAGTGGGGTGGTTTTGCTGTAGTGACAGGTAATTTGGCATCCTCACAAAACACAGATGCACAGAAATTCAAATTCAAATTAAATCCACTAATCCTCTTGGAGCTGCAAGTGATTGAGAAACTTGATCTAGAAACAGTTAAAGCATATGCTTCAGTACAGTGCTGGTTGCGGGTTTTTGAGGTTCTTTGGCAAAACACCCTCAGTAGAGTACTCTTCTTCAGCCTACCTTCTCACCAGCACTGTTGTCAGCTCCTCCTCTTCAGCCTCATTGTAGCTACTATCTGCCTCCTTGACAGGCAGAAAGCAAATGTGCATGCAGGAAGTAATATCTGCTGCTTCTCCTTTACAGCGCCACTGCTATGTGGACCACAGTGAAAGGTGGATGAACAAGCAAGAAGCAATGGTAAAGAGGGGCAGACTTGGGGAATCTCATGAGGGTGTAGACCTTCAGCAGCTGCCCAACAATACTGATCTTGAACACCAGCCTTGCTTAAGTGAACTCCTATTGCTTCCTAAACTGCAAATTCCCAAGATGGAACATTAACTTCCTACTGATCTTTTATAGGTACACTTTGACAGAGTCAAGGTGCACTTGTCATAAGAACAATTGCAATTTGATCCAAGTTGTTTCTACACTTGCAGAAAGGAAGGGAAAGGGTGCTGAGCAGCCAATGGATTTGGATAGTGGTCCATTTCTTTAAGAAGAATCTTTATATTACTTCCACCAGAGAACTAATCAGCTGTTAATAAACATCTGCAATCTTCCTGTGAGCATCTCTTCCTACCATGATCTAGCCAGTAAATTCTCACAACTAAATCTCTCCTGTAAATTAGGTCCCACTATTGGGCTCCTTTTAGCTCCTTACCTAACACACACAGGAGCTTGCTACCCATGCCCTACCCATTCTTCACTTTCCCTTAAACATTTCAAGAGACTTAATAGCAATGGCTGAAGAAACCATGCAGAAGGTGATATAAAGGGAGTGCAACCAAGAAATGGAAGGGCATTGTTAATCGCAGCATTATCAGCTTCACTCCTCTTTTCAGAAGTGGTAATACTGCTCTGCCAGTTCACACTTGTCAGGATGCTGCTGTAATGAAATTATTCTACAAAACATAAACATTATCACAAACCAGGCTTTCAAAAAGACAGGAAACAATAAAGAAAACAGAATGCAGGAGTTTGGCAGGGATGCCATCTAGATCTTCCATAATAATGGAGTTAACATATGACAGAATCTGGTGAGTCAGCCGATGCATTGTGAATTCCAGTGCAAAGGAATGGAATAAAAGGCAACTTTGACTGCTTCTAGACACAGCACTTTTAATACTATCATTCAAATTGCTTTTTTTGTGGAAAGAAAAGAGAAAGAAGTAGTGGGAAAAGACAGGAGAGTTACAAGATGAAAACAATGACATCTGGATCTCCTGTAAATTTCCAGAATTAAGCAGGGTAATTGTATAATAAAAGTTTCCTAGGGAAGTATCCTTAATGCATTATATATTTATTCATTGGAGAATTTATAAACTGCTATTTCAGAGCAGTGTACAACAAATAAAACACTAAATACAAAAATAGAATAAAAACAAATACACCAGTTAAAAAGTGGCTGAAAGAGAAGACCGAGGGGTGATATGATAACACTCTATTTATTATTTATTATTATTTATTTATTTAGTAAACTTCTATGCCTCCCCATTTGCCGAAGCCTCGGGGCGGCTTACAACAATAAATACATATTAATCATATAAAAACAATATAATTGGAAATGTCCTGGCCAAAGATATAAAATCAATAAATAAGCTAACAATTAAAATGATGTTTAAATAAAAAGGTCTTGGCCTGGCACTGAAAAGCAAATAATGATGGCACCAGGCGGACCTCTCTGGGGAGCGCATTCCATAGATTGGGCGCCACCGCAGAGAAAGCCCTCCTCTGGGTTCTTACCCTCCTAATATCCTTCACGGAGGGTTCCCAGAGAAGGGCCTCTCCCACTGATCTCAAGGAGCGGGAGGGCACGTATGGACATAAGCGCTCCTTTAGGTAACCAGGTAACCAGGCTCCTTTAGGTAACCACTCTAGAAATACCTGAGAGGCTGTCACAAAGAGGAAGAACAATCTCTCTTCTCATTCATTCCAGAGGGTAGGACATGGGATAATGGGTTAAAAAGAAACCAGATTTAGACTAAACACCAGGAAGAACGTCCTCACTGTCAAAGCAGTATGAAAATGGAACCTATTATCTGGGGAAGTTGTGGGCTCTCTTTGGTGGAAACATTCAAAAGGTGTCTGGACAACTATCTGAATAGGATGGTGTCACTTAGTGTACTGCAACAGCAGGGGCCTTCTGGCCCCTTCCAACTCTATTATTCTATGATTCTGTGATCTTTGGAGGTCCTTTTCCTATAGCCCCTCGCAAAGGAAGTGAGGCAGGTGGCTACCAAGAGGAAGGGTTTTTTCAGTCGTGGCATCCTGGTTGTGGAATGAGCTCCCCAAAAAAGGGCACTTCGCACCTACTTTGTATTCTCTCTGGCACCAGGTGAAGACCTTTTTAGTTTCCCAAATTTTAACAGTTTAACTTTTTAATTACATTTTTAAAATATTGCATTTTATTTTTTACCACTGCTATGTTCCTATCTAGATTCAAGTGCAAATGCTATGTGTTTTTGTTGCTTTAAATTATCTTCTGTTTATGTGTGCTTTTTTCCTTTCATTTTGTTAACTGTCCAGAAAGCCTTGACTATTGGCCAGTATAAAAATGAACTAATTAATAAAATGGAAACCAACACACTAAAAGCTCTACTCGTGATTTCTAAGATGTGTCCCTTCAGATCTCAGCACTCAGAAAGGATAACAACAGTCAATGCTGTATGGCAATTAGACTATTAGACTGGTACTCAAGAGACAGGAATTCTAGTCTCCACTCAGCCATGAAGCTCACTGGTTGACTTTGGATCAATCACTGGTTCTAACCTCACAATACTATTGTGACAATAAAATGGAGAAACGGGAAAGGATCACGTATGCCACCTTCAGCAACTTGGAAGAAAGGCAGAATATAAATGTAATAAACAAACAAACAAACAAACAAAAAGCATGTCTTCAAGTATACTGATCCGAAGTAGCTCATGGCTTTGTAAACTAATACCAGAATCTTAAACTTGACCTGGTAGTCAATGGGCATCCAGTGCAGAACCTTCAACAAAGATGTAAGATCTCACTCTGCATCTGCGTGTGACAAGGGCTGTGTGCCTGACTGTTTCATGCTGCTCAGCATATCCTAAGAAGGGGCTTGGGGCAGTATGTTTTTAATTTGCCTATTTGAGCGAAAAGCCATGGCATTGCCTATGAA